AGTGTGGGGACTCCGTGTGGGGACACACCGCCGAGGAAGGTCTGCGGCTGCCCTAATCTTTGCACTTGCTGTCGGTAAGGGTGCCCAGCGGAGGGACTGACGGGCCTCCCGGAGCTGACTACACACGGCCAGTGGCTTTCCCCGCACACAGCCTCTGTGGGCCTTGTCCCCGGCGCGCATGAGCCCCCGGCCTCAGGGCTTGCCACCTCCAGACTTGACCTGGCCACGTCTGCTTCCCATGTCCCTCCCGTCCTGAGCCTGGACAGTCAGTCGAGGACCGAGTCACCGCCCCCTCCAGCCCCACGTGTTCATGATCACTCCACTGCACAGGCCGCAGAACACTGCCAGGTCCTGTTTCGGGGTGGTGTGCACCCCAGGCCGGGGCAGTGTGCGCAATTGCCATGCCCCGTTAGCCTCTTTTAATCTAGAGCAGTACACCGTGTGTGTGTGTGTGTGTGTGTGTGTGTGTGTGTGTGTGTGTGTTTTGAGGTTCGTGACAATTCTGAAGTGTCGCGGCCAGTCGTCTTGAACAGGGTCCTGCAGTGGGACTTGTCGGGCCATCTCCTCACGGTTAGGGGGAGGCTGAACTGTGGGGCTAGGCCGTTGCTCAGAGGATGTCGTGTCCTCTATGTGACTCATGGTCAGGCGAGGGGGCTTGTCCGTGTCACTGTAGGTGACACTAAGATAGAACACCCGTTTCCTCCATTCTCCAAGTACCCTGTAACTTTCGAAGTAATGGGCCAGTGTCACCTGCAGCCTGACTCCCTTGCCCTCCCCTCACGCACCCCCTTCCCTCTGACAGCACATGTCGTGGCCACCGTCCCTTTAAGGGCTGCCGGTCTTCGCATGGGCTCTGCCTGCCTCCATCAGCTGGCCTGCTTCTAGGGAGAAAGCCTCCCCAACTGACACCTGCTTTGTTCTTCTAATTTCTGTGGACAGGCATTCCTTGGTGCTCAACTCTGCCTATGACACATGTGCTGACCTCCAGGTTCTCCCGTGAACTGCTCGCTCGGCCCCTTGGCCCCGTTTTCTGTGCAGTGGTGGCCTGTCCCCTAATGGGACCCCGGCTTCCCTTACACCCACGGAGCAGATTCTTCATCCGTGTGTCTTACCTCCCCCCGGGGCCTGGCTGGCATTCTCGCTTGGCTTGTGGTGCCTTCTGATGCAAAGGGGGCCTTTTTCTTAACCCTGTTCTTGTTGGCTCTGATCAGTCTTCCGAGGCATGGATTGTGGGTTTCGTGCCTTGTCGAAGAAGGTGCCCCCGTTAGCAGAGCCACGGAGACTCTCCTGTAGCGTTCCCCTAAAGGTTTGATGTTTTCTTTTTCCGATTTAGGTCTTTAAATGACCAGGGGTTGACTTTTGGTGGATGATAGGAAGGGGGCCAGCACTTTTATTTTATTTATTCTCTGTGGCCAGGCAGCTGTCCCGGCACTGTATTTCCGCCAGTTATTCCAGGCGACGCGTGGCCCACCTATCGAGTCCCTCCACATCCGTCCATGGCACTTTCTTTTCTGTGTCCCTCTGGGGACCATCCCTTTGCCAGTTCCTTCCATAGGCACTTTAGAATCCATGTTGATTTACACAGGAGTCTGTTGGAATGTGGTGGACTCGCCCTGAATTCATAGATTAATTTGGGGAGAATTAACATTTTTAAGTTGTTCTGTCTTGCTCTCATGGAAGGTTGTAACAGGCTCCTGTCATTGAGGTCTTTGTTTACCACTCCCTATAAATGTATTTTATCGTGTCTGTAACTGTCTGGCACGTGTTTTGTTAGATTCACTCTTATAATCATATGCTTTTTTACCTTTCCGCTGTAAATGACGTCTTAAACATTGGCTTCTAACCCTCAGTTTTTCTGCATGTGCCCACACGAACCTATGTGGGATCTTCTTAATTCTCATAATTTAGATTTTCTTGGGTTTCCTTGCAGACAATTATTTGGTTGTGAATAAGGGTAGTTGTTTCTTTTTCTTTTTAAGAGATTAATAGGCTAGAAAAGATAGTTTTTTCTTACATGCTAGTTTTTTTTGTTGTTGTTGTTGTTTTAAGTTTCTTTTTCTTGTCCTACGGCTCTGGTTGGGACGCCTAGATGAAGGGGAGCGGAGTTTGTTACCCCGAAATGTGCTTGTTAGGGGGTATTGGTTTTTTTCAGCTGGTTCATTTTAAGAAACAGCAGACGTGGGAGACGTGGGCAGCAGTTGCCCTTTGTGAAAGGTCATTTACTTTTGTGAGGAAAACCTCCACTTGTAAAAGGCGGCTCCCTCCCTGTACCAGGAAGAGGAGGCTATCTAAATCTCTAGAAACTGTTGTCATAGGAGAGAGCACAGACGCAAATCTGCATACCCTTGTTTCCTGTGCTTTTCCTGGTCACCCCCCAGACTGACTCCCACCCACTTCGTCCTCTTTTGTCTTCAGCTGAAGGTGGTGGCCGCCGCCATTTTGGCCGGCCGCTCAGCGTTCCTGGGTCTGTCCCGTGTGCACAGGACGTGCACATGCTATTACATGTTAATTTGTTTTTCTCCTGCGAATCTGTCTCACGTCAGTTGGCTTATTAGAGCAGCCGGGAGAACCTAGAAGGGTAGGGGATAACTTTTCCTCCCCGACGACGGGGACCATGAAGGGGAACTGCTGACCGAGGTTCCCGGCTTACTCTTGGTTTTCAAGGGAGTCTTCTAACATTTTGCTGTTATGATGTTTGCTGTAGGTTTTGGAAGATGCCTTCCTGAGGTTGAGGGCATTGACCTCTCAGTTGGCGAGGCGTTCTCTTCTCTGTGTTCTGTTTCATCCCACTTGCCCCCGAGCCTTTGAACTGTCTCATGAGTCGTCACATCAGTCTGTTTGCTGAGAGAAAGCTATCTTAGCGTTGGAGAGGACCCTCTCGGTCAGGATGTAATTCAAAAAAAGTGTTAGGGTTTTCTAGTGGGGAGATATTTAACTGCTGGTTCAAGGTCTTTAAAATGAAATCAGTCTGTTCAAGTTTTCTACTTCCGTTTGAGTCAACACAGTAAGTCACATTTCCCCTGGAAATTGGCCGTTTTATCTAGTTTTCAAATAGATTGTCACAAAGTTGTTTATGGTGTTTTATCAGCGACTAATTCCACCTTGACGCTATCTCGTTATGTCCCTGTCTTCTTCCTAACAGTGTTTATTTGCGTCTTCTCTTTCTAGTTAATAACTTGTATTAGTTCTTTGGCAGACCCAATTTTTGACTTTGTTGCTCTTGTCCATTAATTTTGGTTTTTATTTTATCTTCTTCTTTTCCTGTTTCCGTGCTTCTTTTTTGCTTTACTTTAGTTTTTATATTATTATTATTATTATTCATTTTCTACTTTCTTGAATTAGATGTTTAACTTATTAAAATTTGGGGCCTTTGCCCACCCTTTGATAACACAGCATTCAGGCCGCACCCCAGAGTTTTCTTATGCGATCTTGCATTATCATTCAGATCTAAAGTGCTTCCTACTTTCCATTTCGATTTCCTCTTTGATCCAAGAACTCTCCAGCACATGTTTCTGCATTTCTAAACATCTGGGTTCTGACTCAGCAAGGGAGCAGCGACAGTGGGCTGGGACCTGCCTGTCAGAGCCCCAAGTCCCCTCTCCGTGTTTCACACCCAGTAGCGCAGAGGCAGGCGCTCCACCAGAGCCGTGGTCAGGCCCGATTGTTTTGTTCCAGTCTCGCGTGTCCACCACCATCACCTTAGATCGTGCTGACCTCCCGGTGACTATGAGGTGCACTAAAGCTCCCCACTTAGATCCCAGCCCGCTCACTGTCCCTGTGGTTCCGCCATTCGCCGTTAACCTCACACCTTCCAGCCTGCGTGGCTCCTGGTGAGCCCACTGTGGAGCCCCTAGGTGCTGCCGCTCCCCCTCACCCAGGGCCGCTTCCCCTCCCTCAGTCGCTGCCGTGTTGGAGCCAGGCCGTGGAGCAAGGCGGAGCATGCCCCCTGATGGTGCCCCGGGGCCGTGGGTCCCACCATTTATTAGATTCCCGTGAGCGTCTTCGCGTCACCGCAGTCAAGTATGTTGGTCGCTCTTAGTGTGTTTACACCTACAGCATATAGTCTAGCGTGTGGGGCAGGGGTGTATGTGGGGGTCTGGGGGCATGTGAGCGCTTGTGTGTTATGGGTGTGGGGGGTGTCTACATGCAGGCAGCTGTGTTCGGAGGGGGCATGGCTCTGTGTGTGTGTGTGTGTGTGTGTGTGTGTTTGGGTGTGCACACGTGTGCAGGTGCTCTCTGGGGTTCAACTTGGTTGCGGGGGCCTGGGCCCCTGCTCCCCACTCCCCCCTCCCCCCTCCCTGCAGAGCCTTCCTGGAGGGGCGGTTCCGGAAAGCTCCCCCCGTGAATACCTGGCTGTGCGAGGCTGTGCGTCTTGATCCAATTTTTCTGATTTATATTTTCCATAATTCCGTTTAGTCAGGACTTTCAAATTTATTACACAGTGTGCACTGTGTTCTCGTATAATATAGAAAGAGCGGTCTGTGTCTGCGTGTCTGCTCTCACCGAAACGTGCTTTTCCGCTGCTTTCCTCTGGAGGGGGGCCCTCAAAGCCTCAGGCTGTGCCCCCCACCCCCATCCTCGGCTCCTACATTTCTGGGAGAACTTTGTAAAGACTCCCACTGTGCGCTGGGGCCCCCCCTCCCAGAATCCCTCCAAAGGCAAAGCACGTCTGCCCCAAACCGGTTTCAGAGCTGACCCAGGCAGCGGGGGGGCTTCCCATGGGGAGAGAGGACCCAAGCTGCGGTGGAGAAGAGGGCCATGTGGGCCCCAGGGGCCATGACCCAAGGGGCTTCGGGGGCGGAAGCCACTGGCAGGGCTGGGTGGGCTGTCCCGGCCCCAGCACCTGAGGCAGAGTCCCACCGCAGCCTGGTGGCCTCCTGAGAAGAGCACCCAGTGTCTCTCGGGCCCCCAATGCTTCTGCTCTCCCAGTCCTCCAACTCAGCGCCCCCTCAAACGTCCCCCCGCCCAGGGCCCCCATCCATGAGCCAGCACACACCTAGTGGAGGGGAGTCTGGTAGTTTTATTCACAGACCCCAGGAGGTGGGGGCAGTTAGAACAGAGACATGGGGGGTGCTCGGGAGTGGGCCCTCTGCCCCCAGGCCTGGGGGCCAGACACCGCCATGTGGACTTCACGTGCCCAGGGTCTCTGCCTCGGGGGGCCTTCCCAGCTGCTTTACTTCCAGCGCCCGCCAACCTTGCCCTTCGCCCCGGCCTTCTTGCTGCTGCAAATGGGAAGCAAGTCGGTGTTGAGTGTCAGGGTGTCTGGGACCCTGGCTGAGGCCCCTCCCCGGCCCCCTGCAGACCCTTGGTCCTGACAGCCCTGCCCACCCAGGCTGCGAGCAGGGCGATGGGCCCTGCCTGACTCCTACAGCCCCCAGCACACGTCCTTAGCTCCGTCCATCTGTCCAAGCAGCAACAACTCACCTGTCCCTGGCCCTGTGGGCCCCGCGCGGCCTTGTGCTGAGGCAGTTAGTGTGGTTAGGACAGGGCCTCACTGAGGGCTGACCCCAGGCACGCCCCGGAAGCTGTCTCTGCACATGGTTTTCATCTCCCCAGTGACTTTAGCCGGGGCACAGTGTGCCCCCTGGGTCACAGCCTCCTGGGCAGGAGAACCTGGGGCCGTGGGCTGTTCTGGTCATTCACTCTGGGTGGCCAGTCCCGGCCTGATGGACTCGGGACCTGGGAAGCCTCTGTCTCATTCCAGAGTCTCAGCCCCTCTGCCACCAGTTAGAGTGGGACCTTGGGGTCAGGAGGTCACCACCTTGGGGGTGGCGGTCCTCAGGAGTCTGCCCCTTCTGTCTGAGGCCCTCGGCACGCCAGTGATCTGGGTGCTGGGTTAGGTGAGACGGGAGAAGCACGGTGTGTGAGCCCTGAGGCTGGCCTTTTTGGACAGCTGGCTGGAGAGAGCCATGCAGCTCCCAAGGCGTCTTCAGAAGGCCTGGCAATGGTGGCCTATGGCCCGTGTCCCGCAGGAGCCAGCCTGAGGGCTTACATGCATGCACACACATGCACACACATGCACACGCATGCACACCTTGCCAAATGGCCCGCTCTCAGGGACTTGCAACACCCCCTGCCCCATACAACAGAGCCAGGGAGGAGGGGTGTCACCTTCTCCAGCCCTTCAGGGAGGCAGCAAGAAGGCAGAGAAAAACCTCCTTAAACTTCCCAACTCCAAGCCGCCCTAGGGACACTGCAGTCCCTGGAGTGTGGCTGGCTCAGGGCCCAGGCTTGGAGACAAAGTCCCGGAGGGGTGGCAGCCAAGCACAGCCCCGACCGAGATGGGCGGCGCCGGCTTTCTGGGCCTCCCCGGCAGCTGTTGCTATGGGTCCCCCGAACCCCGGGCGCATCAGACAGAGGCACCGTGCTGAGGAACCAGGGGTGCAGAAGGACTGGTGACTCCTCGTTCCCTGTTCCAGGTCACCTTTGAGGTGACACGCCGCCGGGATATCCTGGAGGCTGGTCTGGCTTTCCAGGCCCCTCTGAAGGGCGTCCAGAACCGCCCACACCTCCTGTGGGCCCCTCCCCAAGCTGCCGTCCTCCTGGGCTCGGGGCAGGGCCTGCACATGCTGGCTCCAGTGGCCACCGCGGTTAGTCTTGTCACTGCTCTGCTGAGGGCCGGCTGCCACCGGGACTGGCTTAAATCGCCGGGCCCTGGGTGTGGCGGTGGCGGCCGTCCCCAAGGGCCGTGTGCCTGGCGCAGAGCGAGGGGTGGGCAGGGCTACTCACTGCTTCTGGGCCTGGTCAATACGGCTCCTGAGGTTGGTGATCTGTGAACAACATGGACGGCTTACCGTGGCGTCCCCGTGGAGCCAGGCAGGGCGTGGGCCCGCACACCCTTCCTCACCGCAGGCCTCCTCCGGTGGCCCTGGCCAGGCCTTGGTGCCACACGAGGGCTCCTCGCTCTCTTACTGTGTCCTGCCTCCTCTGGCTGGAGCACACTGTCCTTTGGCCCTCAGGCTTGTACCTCTGACTTACTGTTGGTGGCGTGCACTGGAGACCTGGGCTGGGCACACAGCCGCTCCGGAGCCTACCACTTACCTTCCGGCCTACAGGGGGATGTGGGCAGCGGGCATGGGGCGGGAGGCGAGGCTTGCAAACACAGCCCTTGACTCTGCCGGCTGAGCGCAGAGCCACCTTCTCCTTGTCCCAGGTGCTCCCTCCTCCTGACTGCCCAGAGGCGAGGCTCAGGGAGAGGCAAGGACCTTCCCACCTGCTGCAAAGGCCAGCCGGCCAGCCTCAGAAGCCACTTGGTTGCAGGCAGGAGGGAGGGGGCGGGGGCAGGAGGGAGGGGAAGGCCTCCGTCACCTCCATGCCCGCTGCCACCACATCCTTACGACCCCAGGTTCTGCCATGCGAGAGGTTCACCGTGCACTGCACACCATGAGCCTGGTCCAGGCTGGACCCGGCTACTTACAACTTAGCCAGCATCTCCACTCTGGCCCGGATGTTCATGATCTGGAAAGACCAAGATGGTTACGGGGCTGGGTGGGTGTCTGAGGCCTCAGCCGGGCCAGGCCCTTGTGGCTCCTCTGGTCCCTGGGGTGTGACAGCAGTGGGGCCGGTCTGGCTCTGCACGGTGAAGCCCACTGCTGCAGTCAGCCCTCTCAGGGGACCATCGAGAGAGGGCAGCGCTGTGCCCCAAGCCTGGAGCCTCCTGTCTTGTAGGAAGCGTGTGCTCCTGGGACGACACAATCATCCTCCCCTCCCCAGGGCCCTTGCGGACTCGGGGCGGCATCTGCACAGGTTTCTGCTGTGCGTCGTGAGCCCTCTCAGGCGACTCCAGAAGGGTAAAGCCCCCCCACCACGAAAGCAGCCCCATGCCCCCAGCCCCAGCTGCCCGGTGGGGTGCTTGGCACCCCCAGGGGCTCTGAGGAAAGATATCCAGGTGGCAGTGTGTCCGGGACTTGGGTTTGCAGAGAAGGCTGTAGGAAGAGGACATCCCAGTGCCAGAGGAGCCTTGCGCCACCCTGGGGACTTTCTACAAGCCCCAGGCAATTCAGAAACGACCCAAGGCCTCTGTCTGCTGCTCCTTTGTGCCACCCTCAGAGCAATGGCTGATTGCCCAGGGCACGGAGGACACCTTGGGGAGCAGGAGACCAGGGTCTGTGTGTGGGGACAGCCTGTGTCGGCTTCTCAGGGGCCAGGTCCGTGGGGACTCAGGCAGGTGGGTGGCCGGTGAGACTCAGGGGCCCGAGACCCCACAGGTGGCTGCACTCACGTCGTATCGCTGGCGTTTCAACTTCTCCCCAAACTCAAACTTGTCCGTCTCCAGTTGGTACAGGGTGTCCCACAGCTCCTTGGCCTTTTCCCTGGGGGGTGGCAAAGGTCAGGCCAGCCTGGAAGGCAGGGCCCAGGCCCCCCTTTGTCCCCCTCCGGCCCCAGTGACCTCACAGAGACCCCGAGGCTGGCGGGCTCAGGGAGGCCTCAGCTACCAGCACCCCTTGTCTGGGCCAGCACCCCCCTCACCTCAGCTTGTCCTCACTGAGATGGTCGATGTTGAGTGGCTTGCGTCTCTCAGCTAGAATCTTCTTCTTCATCTCCCGCGCTGTCTGCTTTTTGCCTCTCTTCTGGTCGGCCTGAGGGGACATGGCAGAGGGGCCTGGCCTCGGGCAGGGAGTGCCGCACCGCCCGGCCAGCGGGCGGGGGGCGGGGCCGCCCCGAGCTCTGAGCGCCTGCACTCACCTTGGCCAGGTAGCTGCTGTAGGTAGCGCCCATGGAGGACAGAGCCTTCTTCTTCTTGAGGTCGTCCTCAGCCCTCCGCTTCGCGTCCTCCTCCTCCCTCCGGGCTTTCTCCTCCTGTGGAGACCCCACCCCCACGACCTTCAAGGCCCGGCCAGGGCTGCCCTCTCCGGCGGGCTCCCACAACCTGCCCCCCCCCCACACCCGGGTTGGAACTTTCTAGAAGCTCCAGGCCCTGGTCAGGGTTGGTCCTCTTGCAGGGGTCCTGCCAGGCGAAGGAAACTCAGCCAGTGGCTGTGGTCACTGGCCAGTGTCAGGGGAACCTCAGGAAAAGAAAGGGCAGAGACCCCAGCATCTCTCTGATCTGTGGTCAGCGGCTCAGGGTCCGGGTGGGGAAGGGGCGCCCCGCCTCACCGCCAGTCGGTTCTGGCGCTCCCGCTCCTTCTCGGCGCGGATCCTCTGCTGTTCCGCTCTCTCCGCGCGGCGCTTCTCCTGCAGCCGGAGGAGCCCATCAGCCCCTCTGCGAGGGACCCGCAGCCCCTGCCACCCAGCACGGGCCCCACTCACGATTCTCTCCTTGAGCGCGATCAGCTCCTCTTCCTCCTTCTTGCGAGCCTCGAAGTGGCTGTCGATGAGGGCCTGCAGCTCCATGAGGTCCTTGTTCTGGCGCTTCTTCTGGATGTCCTGTGGACGGGAGGCGCCCGTCAGTGTCCCCCGGTCCCTCCGCAGCTCCGGCCTGCCCAGCCGCCCGGGCTCCGGCGGAGAAGCCCTGACTCCTCCGGCCACTGCGAAAGCTGGGAGCGGCAAAGGACCTCCGCCTTCGCCACGTCCCCGTGTCCCTGCCCTTCTGGGGGTTCAGGGCTTCCTGATTCCTGAGCCATAGGGTAGGGACAGTGCCCGCCCCGCCGTGGGTGAGTCCAGGCCCCGCATGGCCGTGAGGTCCTCAGCACCCCACCGATGGACTAATTCTGACGAGGCCCTGTCACCATCCTCAGGGATGTACTGCATGGACCAGGCAGAGAGGAAACCGGTGAGCAAGGTAGTTTGTTGAAGACATATGGACATGTGGACGAGTGGATGGAAGACTGAGTGCAGGCGGAAGGATGGATGACGATGGATGGATAGGTGGGTCGAGGGATGATGGATGGATGGAAGGATGGATGGATGGATGGATGGATGGAAAGGTGCATGTGTGGGTGGATGGGCGATGAATGAGTGGAGAGACGGAGGGATGCGTGAGGCATTGGGTAGGTGAGCAGATGAATGGATGGATGAAGGGTAGGAGGATAGGTGGGGAGGAGATGTCTATTGCTGGAAAGTTTCCTCTGGTCCATGAGTGAATTAAAGCAGAATTGCCTGGGGTCAGGAAGGACTAGCTGCGACTGCTGGAGAGATGACCTTCTCAGGCCTAGAGCCTGAGGACTGGGGTGGGGGATGGAGGGTGTGTTGATCGGGTTCCAGAAACTTACATCGAAGTCTACTTTCTCCCCTTCCGGGATCTTAGGAGCAGTGAGTCTGAAGAGAGAGAGGCTCATGAGCAGGGACAAGTGGACACCCACCAGGACAGTTGGCCTGACCCAACTTGGCCTGGCCCAAGGCTGCCCCTCCAGCCCTCTGGCCCTAGCGCGTAGCTGAGGGTACATTGCCTGACCTCCGTTCTTATCAGATGAATAACCCTCTGTCCCCAGGATGGCTTGACCCACTTCGAGAAGATTTCAACCTCTTACTGCCCCTCTGTTTTGCCAACTTCTGGACACTAAGGGCTGTTTCACCCCCAACTGCCCAGGAAGGGCACCCTCAGTTTCTTTCTCAAACAAATAAACGGATGCCACTGGATCAGAGCATAAGGCAGAGTGGTCAGCACAGGTCCTGGGGGGGGGGGGATTGGCCTCCGTGGTCAGGAATGGCTGTCTCAACCCTTCGCGTTTCTGTGGCCCCTCTTTAATCTTTCTTCCTGGGGACCCAAAAAGGGGGAGTAGGCAGAAAGCAGTTTGAAGAAGAAAGGCGCCCCCCCCCCCAGTCCCGGCTGTAAGGAGCCATCAGTCCTGTTCCTTTCCCCAATGCATTCCAGATGGAGCAAAGAGTTAAAACGACAACAACAATTTTTTAAAACAAGCCATAGAAGAAAGTGGAACTGAATATCGATCAAACTGCTGGGCCGGGAAAGGATTTTCTAAGCTCAGAGGTCCCGCTGAGGAAAAGATGGCCAGATGACTCCATGCAAATGAAAAACTTATGTATGTGAAAAAAGGCAAAAATTGAAAAGGGGAAGAAAGAAAAAAAAACACACACACACAAAAAAACCCAGACTAGAAAAATATTTTCAGCAAATACAGAGAAGACTTATATCGTTATGCAAACGGATGATTAAGAAAACACAGGGCTGTCTGTGTTAGATGAATAGGCAGAGGGCATAAGCCACGATTCTCGGGAAGAAAGAGGGACCAGTTAACAAACTGGGGAAGGTTTGCCGGCAGCAATCAAAGGAATGCAACGGAAACAGCCCTGAGAGGCCCTTCCCCATCCATCAGTGGCTCCTTGGGTCCAGCGGTGTGGGGCGCAGACCCGCTCGCGTCCACGTAGGAGACCGCGCTGGCAAGCCCCTCGTGGAAAGCCATTTGGCAAGGATGTCAAAAGCCTTACGAGCGTTCATACTCTGACCCATTAATTCCAGTTCTGGGAATGCGGCCTAGGGAAATAGCCCAAAAGACAGAAAATGCTTTCCACCCAGCGTTATTTATGATAGTAAAATATTGGGGAAAGCCTGAACCTCCTGCACTGGGGGAATGGTTAGGAGAATTATGGTTTGTCCAATTGATGGAATATTATGTGGCCATTCAAAATATTTAAGAAGACTATGTAAAAACATGGAAAAATACTTATGAATAGTGCTACATTTTAAAAAAAAAGCAGAACTCAAGGTCGCATAGACAGTACGGTGTTTGAAAAACAGCTCAGAGTTTAAAACTTTTTTTCCGAGTCCGACGCATGGAAAAAGAGTAGGGAGAAATAAGCCTTTTTATTTCTTTCTCCTCTTTTCCGCAGTCTGGCTGGCTGGGTGGGAGTTATAGATGATTTTTTTTTTTCTTCATTGGACTTTTATGTATTTTCCAAATTTTCTTTAATGAGGTGTTTTATTTTCATAATGAAAACACAAACATTTTTTTAAAACTAGAAAATATCTTGGGATCCGGCAGCTTTATTTAAAATTGCTGAAAAATAAGGTGCAACGGATGGAAACGTGCTGGCTGTGTGCTTCACGCGCTCTCAGTCTGCTGCTGGGAGCCCCTCACACCTCCCCCGGCGGGGAGCCCCAGCGGTGCCAGTACTCAAGTCCCATCTCCCATCTCGTGCGAGCAAACGCAGGCACGGATATGCACGGGGATAAAAGCCGAACCGCTACAAAGCGTTGGCTTGAAACCAAATCTCTGAAATACTCACAAGTGGGTGAAATGTGGGAAAGACCCTCCCAACCAGGATGATAGCTCCCCAGGGGCTCAGAGGCCCCAGGGCAGTGAGAGGTCGGGGAGGGGGGGATGGGCCCGGTCTAGGTGTTGCTCTGAAGTGGGTTTCAGGGGCGAGGCCCTCCCTCACTCCCTCCCACCCTGCTTTCATGTCTGCTGCACATCTGGGGCTCTGGGAGACCCCACAGCACGGTGTGGCGTGGCGGGGTCCGGAGAGGGCAAGGGGCGCTGCATGGGGACCCCCTCTGCCCCTTCTCCCCTAACTGCTGCTCCCCTGCCTCCTTGGCCTGTGGCCTTCTCCTGCAGGAAGTCCTTCTTGCCTGTACTGGAAGGCCCAGGCCAGAGCCATGCCCGGCTGGGCCCCCAGAGTTCTCTGCTCTCCCTGGTGGAGCCTGGTGGGGGACAACAGCGGCCGCCCCAAGTAGTCCCACCCTCACAAAGTGCCCTTGTCAGATTCCTAGAATTTTTAACTCCAAATTGCGGGGCAAGGAAAGGAGTGGCCACTTTCTCTCAGGGTTTTAGGTGCCAACTCATCCCCCACAGAGCCTACACGTCGTGTCTTCCTCTGGGGGCAGCAGGTCCCAGCCCCGGGGGACGGGGGACGTTGCTTTCCAGGTGACCTCGGTCCCCATGCAGCCTGCACGGGTTCCCTCCAGGCACGGCCCACCCTGCTGTTCAGCCCGGCCTGGGCCCTGTACTCACTTGGGTCTTGGCTTCTCCTCTGGTCACCACAGCAACAGCCGACATGGAAAGAGGGGAGAGAGAGACCATGTGAGACGGGGGCCCACTCCTGACCACGGGCACCTGGGGGCCACCCAGCTGGGCGCTTGCTGAGCTCAGGCCTGTAGGGCCGCCTGCTCTGCAGCTGAGCCCACCCCCCACCCACCAGACCCACCAGGACAAGAGGAACTGGCCCCCACTGAGGGCCAGCGAAAGTCCCTGTGGTATCCAAGGAGATCTTGGGGTGGGGGACCAGGATGTGTGGGGGGTGGGGGAGAGAGCTGAAGGGAAGAAGGAAGCGATGGAAGTGAAGGAAGGCAGGAGGGGGAGCATGAAGGGGGAGGGGAGGGGAGAGGAGGTGGTCTGACGGGGAAGGGGCAGAGGCCGGGTGAGGACGGAGAAGCGCGCCCTGGCCAGGCTCCTGGTCTGCTGGCGCCCCACCGACCACCCCACCTCCGTGCTGGGCGGAAGCTCGGCGGGCGACAGCGCCTGCAAGACCCCGCTGTGGAGCCCATGGCGGTAGCCATGCGAAGCAGCCTGGCCTGGCCCTCGGAGGGAGGGAGACGGAGGGAGAGCCGGCGAGACGGGTGCCAGGCTGGCGGGCGGGTCCTGTCCCTCTCAGGGTCACCAAAGCCCGGGACGCGGCCCTTACCTTCCTCTTCCTCCCGTCCTTCCTCTGCGACTTCTTCTGGGCAAAAGCGTACATGCAAGAGAGAAGCCGGCGAGGCTGCGGGGAGCGTCCGTGCGAGCCGCGGCGCGGGCATGGGGCAGCTCCTGCGCCCCGTTCCCCTGAGCACGTTGGCCTGGACCCCGTTAGAGTCCCCAGAGAATGACCTTTTGGGGCGTGGGTGCAGGAGCTGGGTGCGGCCATGCTGTGGTGCCAGGAGGGCCCCAGAGACCCCCACCCGCCGGGGAGGCCTGGCGGTGAGTGGAGCCCTCGGTGGCCTGTGGGTGCTGGCTGCTGGCTTCACTGAGTCTTCCCACTGAGGCTGGCAGGGCCCACCTTGCAAAGCTGAGGCCCTCCCCAACATCGTAGCCTTGGAGCTGGGGGTGGGCAGCTCTGGGGGCCTGACTTCTGGGTCTTGTTGGGTTGAAGCCCAACAGGTCTAGAACATTGAGGTGAAGCTAGCCCGTTGGTGCCTCGAGCCTGCACACGCGTTGCTGCTTTGAGCGCAAGGGGGCCAAGGGCCCCAGGCCTGCTCTCCCCGCCTCCCTCGGGAGTCTGCCCTTGATCTGGAAGAGGCTTCTCTCTCCTCCCGCCTCTGCGGGGTCACCTCCAGGGCCTGCCTTGTGGCCGGTGGCCGGTGGTCCCGGCTGGAGCGTACAGACCCTAGGCTAGGCCCCCAGGTGCCTGGGCGGACCTGGCCGCCCTCATGTGGGGGCCTCTTCCCTGAACCATCCCCACCCCCAGAGCCCTGGGGCGGCCCTGGCTGTCCTGGTCACAGCCAGGGCGTGTGGTCGGTCTGGCAGCACCTGACCCAGTCCCTCAGTCCCTGCTCTGGGCCCTTTGGTGATGCTGACTGAGCAGGACAGCCCAGCCGAGGAGCTGTCCTCGGTCACCTCTGCGCCTTCCTCTGCTCTTGGCCGAGGCCAGCAGGCCTGTCGAGGGACAGGGTGGGGGTTCCGGCCCCCTCGGCCCCTGGCCTGCGTGTGCACTTCGCGGACCCTCCCCTCACGTCCCCCGAGCTGGGCCTCACTGGGGTTGCTTAGGATCTGGTACATGGCCCTTTGCAGGTGGGCCTGACGTCACCCTCGGCCTGCACTCTGGGGCGAGGGCGCTTTGGGAGCAGAAAGCTGGGCCCGGGGGGGCCTGGGAGGCTGGGGGCCAGGCCAAGAGGCGGAGGGGAGAGCGGCCGTGCGGCAGAGCCCCCCCAGAGGGTCTGGAAACCCCTTTGTGTCTGTCTGTCCATCTGCCTCGGGGCTGGTTCAGGTGACCTGGTTACCTCGCAGCCCCTACAGGGCTCTTCCCTGGACGCCTTCTGCCTGCTCAGCCACCACCCTATGTCCCTCTGAGGCCAGGGAAGGGAAGACAGCTTTGGGGTAGTGTTCGGGGTTTGGACTCAACTGGTAGGCTCCCTGCAGCGCCGCCGAGGCGCCCCCGGACTTGAGCCTGCAGCTCCCTCGCCCCCACCTCTGTGGGAGGGCAGGCCCGGGGGGCTCCTCGCTCCTGGGCCGGTCTGACCTGCACCCAGGCGATGGGTGGGTCGCTGGCACCTGACTGCTTGCTTTCTTGCACACGAGGCCGCTGGCTGGGCTGGTGTTGCCGTCCCCACCTTGGGCCTCAGCCCGACTTGGTGCTCCGCTCACTCGGCCTCCGCCTCACCTCTCCTCACTGGCCCTCTCCGGTGAGCGATCTGGGGCCGGGCGCAGGCTCAGGCCCCCCTCCTCTGCCCTTCTCCACCCGCCCCTGCTGGACCCAGAGCTTCCCTCCCAAGGCCTGCGCCCCCCTCGGGGCCTGTCCTCAACGTGACCTAGAGGCCGGCTGCCCCCAGCGCCCCCCTCGGGGCCTGTCCTCGACGTGACCTAGAGGCCGGCTGCCCCCACCTTCCTGCTGGTGGGCTAGGAAAGGGCTCAGCTCCCCACCCTGAATGCTGTCAGCCAGGGAGGCCAGGAGGAAGCCTGCACCCCGTCAGCAAGCCCTGCCTGAGCCAGCACTACAGGCGCAACCTGTCCCCACTCTGTCCCAGCCCATAGAAATGGGGCGACAGTCATGCAGGCGAGGAGGGCAGGAGGAAGAGAGGCCTGCGGGACAGGCAGGCCCCTGCTTCGGGATGCGGAGAACGTACCTTCTTGGACCTCCTCTGTGGAAGCAGCGCCGTGTGGGGAGAGAGAGGAGAGAGAATCAGCTGTGACCTTGGGGCAGCGC